ACACTCACACACACACACACACACACACACACACACACACACACACACACACACACACACACACACACACACACACACACACACACACACACACACACACACACACACACACACACACACACACACACACACACACACACCCACACACACACACACACACACACACACACACACACACACACACACACACACACACACACACACACACACACACACACACACACACACACACACACACACACACTAACACACCCCTGATGGTGTTGCAATGAGCATTTCAGTAAAATATATATACGGAGTGACCTCGGTCCTTTTGAAGAGCGCTGTTGTACCAGGAGGTCATTCACCCCTCGTGTTAAGGGTCATCTCATCTACGGAGAGGTGTGTGTGTGTGTGTGTGTGTGTGTGTGTGTGTGTGTGTGTGTGTGTCCCATGATCTTTAGAGCTGTCAACATTCTTCACCACATGCTCTGTCATGGTGCATAGAGGCGACTGGTGAGATGAACCAGCTGTCTCTGCCTCTGGTCGCTGCAAGGTCAACATGCTCTCACGCGCACACACACACTCGCGCACACACACTAGGCTGCATGTACTCTCATTCTTGTGTTGACGATGCCAACCATTGGCTGTGGGTAACAACTCCAAGTGTTGAAACAGTGACTTGATTGATGGGCTGATTGAAATGTGTCTCTGTGTCTCTCAGGTGGAGGAGGGAAGAGGAACGGTCGCAGTAAGAAATGGAAGGAGATGCTAAAACTCCCACACATCAGCCAGTGTGAGGAGCTACGCCGCTCTATCGGTAAGAAACCCGGTGTGAGGGTGTGTGAGGGTGTGGGTGGGTGTGAGGCAGGAAGATAACGTGCCACACTGTGTCGTTGGGGTGGGTCTGACTGCGGGAGGAAGTTCAGATTGGACTTCCTTCCTGTTTCTACCCGTCTCCACCCGCACTTACAGGCAGGGGACAGGAAACAGTGTGTTTATAGATGTGTGTTTGTGTTCTTGTCTAACTCGGAGAATCCTGAGCCGTATCTTAATCTCAAAGTCTCTCCGGACCTTACGTGCGTGTCCCACCGACTATCTGTCTGCTCGCACGCCAAATCAAAACGTCTTCCTTCCTGTTCTCCACATCCAGGTTTGACTTGAAAGTAGGGCCCGGATTCTCTCTTTGTGGCCCAGACAAGTGCTCTACTCCTGGGCTACATTATCTCCCCCCCCCTCCCACCCTGGTCCTCTGAATGCCACAGCATTGGAGTGTGTGTGTGTGTGTGTGTGTGTGTAATAGTGCGTCAATGCTATCTCTGCCAGAGATTGCAGTGCTACCCTCCCCCACATACTCTCCCTGCCTCTTTTCTGTCTCCAAGCCTCCCCCTCCCACTATCTGCATCTCTCTCTCCCTCCCTCTTTCCACCACTTCAGAGGAACATGAGAGTGGCAGAACAGGAGAGTTATGGAGAGATCGAGTGAAAAACAGAAACAAAGAGAGGCTTTTACCAGGGGAGGAAAGATCTCTTCAGGACAGGAGCGAGTGAGAGAAACGACGTGAGGAAAGAAGGGAGACTGAGTGAAAGAGACGCCCGTACTCCCTACGCCGATATCGCTCACTCGCCGTCGATTGTGTTCCTCGTCGTTCTGTCTTCATATCACAAATCATAACTCGCAGATCTAATTATCATAAACTTGAATGCGTCTGTATTCAGCCGGGATAAATTACCTGCCGAAAAAACAGCAGCACATAAATGTCACCGTAAGTGTGAAGACGCATTGTGCTCGTCATATCTTGTATATTTATTGCCTTTCGGATTATAACTTTGCAGAGGATTCTAAAATATTGTGTGTGTGTGTATATGTGTGTGTGTATGTGTATATGTGTATGTGTATGTGTGTGTGCGTGCGTACACGCAGCAGCTGTTGAGGGTTATATACGTCACTATTGCATAGATAGCTATTGCGTAATGCCCCTATCACTCCGAGCGCCGGATCAAAATAATCCCTTTTGCCTACTTGAACACACAGACGTGTAGGCAAGTGCATGTTCACACACACACACACGCCCATGTGCAGAGATGCTCACACATACCCACACACAGTGTAGGCCCGGCGGATAGAAGGCGAGTAAAGCGACTGATAGCCGTGTCTTTGTTGTGTCTTGATAATGTCAGGCATTTGACCTTAGCCTTGACAAGTGCGCAGTATTCTAGGGAGCCTAGATTACATTATGTGGGCTGCAGCCACTTTGTCTGCCAGCTTTAGGCCGCTCTCCCTCCCTCTCCTCTCCTTCTATCTCCCCTTCCCTTTCTCTCGCTCTTCTGACCAATGCCTACAGACCACCTGCTCCTTTTTACTTTTCATCTCTGCCACGTCGGCCTTAGAAGCGGGCACACGCGAGTACACTTGTGCACATCCGGCCATCTCACTAACTCACTCACGGCCTAAATTGGATTTTTAATTAAGTTGTAATTGCAGCTTCGTTGCCCGGCTCGGACAGTTGCTCGTCCAGGCTAGTTCAAGCTTTTACAACTCTTCATTATTTTCAGTCCTTTCATTTTCCTGTCATGTTTCTTTCTCTCTCATCTTATTTTCACAGTTGTTCTCTCACCCAAAGAGGACATTCTTCATCGGTGGAAGGCCGTCTTACGTTCTTACATTCAAAGGATTTAGAGCCTGGAATCAGCTTGGACACACACACACACACACACACACGCTCTCACACGCTAACCCAGAATACTCAAAGGCTACATTTTTGAACAGAATCCTTTGTTTTGCAGGTGAGCAATCTGTAAACTTCATCGAACAAGATAAAAGAAAGACGTTGATACAGTTGTTGTTGAGTAGTCAACCCCACTAAGGTTGCAACGATGATAAACTATATGATTTTCTTACAGTTGGTTGACATGAACTCCGTCGGTAGTATTTGTTGCTCTGACAGGAATATACTTTGTTTGTAGAACATTTGACTTGCTTACCGTTAAGTTCTGAAAACATAGATGCTGAAATCATTCACGTGTCCCTGGGTGTAGATTGTTGCCACGTCCCGGTTCTCTGTGTACCGTTAAAATGTAAACAACTTATGACAGAAATAATAACACCGGCTCCCCGCTGTATGAATATAAAGGTGGAGTGTGACAGACGAGACGCAACACTATCAGTAGGCTCAGAATGTCCCATCAACATAATTATCTATCTATATACATACAGATAGATCAATAGATAGATAGTTATGTTGATGGAAATAGGTAATAAAATTCTAAACGATTTGAAAATATTCTCTATATATATGTGGCATGCATTACTAATAAGTGTCAGGGCTGTAATGCCATTCAAAACTGAGCTAGGGTTCAATTAAAACGTATTAATTATTATCATGAAACCATCTCATTTCTTCATTTGGCTCATGATGGCGTCCCATGCGTTGCCCAATGTCTCGGTTACTTAGGAACACGGGAATCCTTTCAAGAACATTGCACAACAGTTTTCGGTGACTCTGTTTATTACGCAAATTCGAGTGTTTCACCTCCAGAGCGACCGATTGTGCTGTGATTCAGCAGGAAATACTCATTGGAATGAAACCGCCCTGAAACGTCCTCTCAGCAAAACCAGTTCTGGAGCGAGGCACTGAAACCTCATCGGGAGGCTCATTGCAAACGAGAGCGCTGCTGTAATGATATGCAGCGAGGAGTGAAGAAACATCTGAACGAGAATAAAGAATCCGTGATCTCTGGCTGTGTGGATGCCCGAGCAGCAGACACTAATGACTCAAACTAAAAGCATTCAAAGAGCTGAAAAGTTGACTTTGTAGAATTTGGTTTGTTGAGGTCCACACTGCCTGTTTGTAACCAAAGCAGCTCATGAACAGAAGTCACATGAGTCCATGATCCTAAAGAGGCTTTTGATGGAAGTCAACCCGTTTGTTTGCATGGAAGTAAAAAGGTATTGATTACATCGTTCCCACCTGTCCAGATGAATCGTTAAACTCAAATACACTGCTCCAAACGTCTTGTACAGACGCCCTGAAATATCAATTATGAGTGTGAGGGGCTTTCCCAGCTCCAGCACTCAGCTGATA